CAATTTCCTTCAGCAGATTATCCCACTTATCGTGTCTAAATTCTTTAATGCGTTGTTTCACCTTGTTTTGGAGGTTGCGCAGTCGAAATTTGTTGTCTATCATACGATAGTGATCGTATTGTCTTAAGGAAGCGTTCTTCGCTCTAATCAGCTGTCGAATATAGCTCGTGAGCTTTATCTGTCGATTGCTCGACACACGAATCTCACGAGAGCATTCTTCAACTGTAGAGGTTAGGTGTGCCAATAGGGTGCTAATCACCTCATTGGCCTCCTCTGGAGAGTCTATATTGTCTGGGATTTTGTCTAAATGCTGGGAGGTCGTAGACTCGAGTTTGACCACGAGCTTTCCACAAATCCACGATGGTTTTGGTCTGAAGGACTTTAACAGCTGGCCCAGCTGCATTATGACTGGTCAATGGTCCGAGTTAAGATCTAAAATTGTTTCAATCGCTGATATCGATGGACATCTTTGAGTATCGCTACGTCAAGGATGTTAGGTTGATGACTAATAGCGAATGGGTAGTGGCTAATATCGAAGTTTAGTCGCTCCATAAGATCGAACAATGCATTACCATTGGAATTGTTTGTAAACGAGTTCAAGGAGGGATGCTTACTGTTAAAGTCTCCAGCTATTATGACACTGGAGTTTAGATTAAGTAATTCTACAAAGTCTGATTCAAGTATGTGTTTGAGTGGCAGTTGATCTGAAATTCCTCTCCCCGCGTCCTGCCGCAGTCGCATCAGCGGTACAGTCTCGACATAGTTGCGGAGCACTTATTGATAATATAAAATACTCTTGACCCGAATGTTAGTTATTTAAAAGCAAACGATAAATATTTAAATATATTATTAAATACTAATACATTTTAATATGCTTTAAAATACCAAAAAGCAGTGTCGAAGATGCGAACCACCGCAGCCTGCAAAACGCGAAGACCGCAGTATCAGACGGGTACTGCGGTCTTCATTCCACTTACTCCCACCGTAATCAAATCCATGCCAAGCGTGACGATTAAGGCAAACCTTTTGTATATGGGAAAAGTTACATGTACTATCCCCATAACAAATCTACTCGGGCTACGGAGGATTGAGTGGAAGGACAACACTCCCACCGTAGTCAAATCCATGCCATTCTAATATATAACTTCGATCTTAATTCATAATTATGCATTGCATCGGGCACCGGTAAAGTCACACGCAAGTCACACGACAAAAGCTTATTTTTATTCTTTTTTTAAAAACGTTAACACTATGATTTTCTCCTGTATCGTGAAGGCAGTTTACATACATAAATTGCACTAACATCCAGATCCGGAACAATCACTCTTAGGCCATACAAATAATTGCTACGTTTTTTTTGGAGGATAGGGTGACAAACGAGCACAAAGTCCACCTGATGGTAAGTGGTTGCTGTGACCCACAGGCATCTACATTTATCCCCAATAAAGAATCAGAATGCAGTTGTGCTGTCATCCGTGAGGACTAAGATGGAATGGCTTTTTTCCAGTAAAAAGATAATAAGATAAAAATATCAAATATAAAAATTTATAATAATGTATTACTCGTATTCAATTAAAAACATTTTTTTTTCTTGTAGCCCATTTTGTATAATATTTTTACTTTACTTATTGATGAAAAACGAAACATTTAAAATTATGTAAAACAGTCATTGTTGTGTTATCGCGGTCGAGGATAAACTTGCAATTTTGGCTTATCTAAATCACAAACGCTAAACACGGAGCACGCTCGATGGGGATTCTTAAAGTGGTACTTTAAATTCAATTAGACACTGAGCTACGAAGTGTAGAAAATTTGTTTTGTTTACCTTAAAGTAGAATAAAATAAATTATATTACACTAAATCTAGAGCCATGGTAGCTCAGGTGCTAAGCGCTCGCTGTATATTTCACAGTAAGTGAGAAGCCCGGGTTCGATAACCGTCGGCTCCAATTGTTAATTGCAATTTAAAGTGATGATCGGCCACGAGTTCTGCAGTGAAGGAAAACATTGTGAGGAAATCTGTATGTCTGAGAAATAAGAAAAAAAATATTTTGAAGACATGTGAAGTTCGCCAACATGCATTGGGGCAGCGCGCGGACATTTCCTTGCCCTGAAACTCTCTTAGAAATGAGTGGACGTCTGTGCTCAGTAGTGGTACGTATACAAGCTGTAAATTTAACTTAACTTTTAATCTGTTTATATGTAGTTTGAACCACAAATTGGATTACCTAATAAAACATGCCATAGAAATCGATGTATCCAGAAGACTGATAAGCAGTATGATCATCATCATCATTACATCATTTCACAAGTCAATTGTTGAACATCGGCATCCCCAAACAATGCGACCAAACACGGTCATGAGCTACCTGCATCTATCGACTTCCTGCATGTCATACCTGGCTGTCACTTCATCTAGTAGAGTGCTGCCCTACCTTTCGCTTACCGATACTTAAGGCCATTCGAAAATCTTTCTTCCTGATAGGTTGTCGTATGTTTGAGCTATAATAGTCGACCCATTGCCACTTCAGCTTACTGACCCGGTGAGCTATTTCGAGTTTTAATCTTAGAATTGTAATAAGTTTCATTTTTATACATATAGCCAAATCCACTATTGAATATGCACTTTTAATAAAGGCGGCTACCAAGAGTTTCTTATATGTTTTCGTCGAATTCTGGCTTGCGTTTTCAGCTCATACATATTGTTAAAGCCTAAATTTTTAAATAATCCAGAAAGCAATGCCTTCAATTTTTTTTTATAGGATAAGGGTGACAAACGAGCACACAGTCCACCTGATGGTAAGTGGTTGCTGCGGCCCATAGACATCTACATCTATCTTCTATTACAAATCAAAATGTAGATGCGTTGTCACCCGTGAGGAATAAGATGGAATGCCTCATTTCCAGTAAAAAGGGCCTCCGGCCACCTGCACTCACCAAGCGAAACGCAGAGGTAAACCTCCACTTCACGCTGGTTTTCTGTGAGGTCGTGGTACCACCCCGGTTCGAGCCGGCCCATCCGTGCGACAGCAAAAGCTGCCGCGTGGCTCTACCACTGTTGGAATTCAATTCTGTTTTTAACGTCTACTCCATTATATAACTTAACAATTGCGGTAAAATATTATGATGTATATAATCGATAAACGTTTTTATACTTAGTAACGAATTGTATTTAAATTCAGGAGAAAGAAAAAATACCTTTTTTAATCATAGCATTATTTATGGTTATATTATTTATTTCAAAGTCACTCGTCCTTCTACAGGCTAGCTTAAGACTTTTAGTTTTTGTTTATTATTATAATATACGTTGAATATATTTACTTCATGTAAATCAATACATTAAAATTAAAAAGCTCAGCCGGTTGTCCTTTTAAAAATTGAGGTTACACTCAGTCAGTTTACTTTAAAAATTTTACGTTTTTAATCACAGGACATACTTGATGAAATTCTTCACAAATAATAGAAAGTTCTGGAACTAAAAACGTTTTTGTTTTTATGACAGCACCAATTAATTCTTGTCCTTTAAATCGTGACAGTCCGTCCTTTCACATTAAGGCAGTAATTGCGAGATTTTAAAATAATTGCTGTTATACGTTTGTCAACATTGTAAGCAATTTAATTGCCGGAAGATTTAAGATAACTACTAAAGACCATATATTTTACTAATTTTTTGATTTCTTCAAAAAAATCTCCAAGTTTATCGGAAAAAATATAGCCTAGATCACTTCTGGTATTGCTCTCTACAGACAGGCAAACAGATACTCGTACTTCAATTTTATTTATAGGTAGTATAGGTATGTTAGTATTTATGATAAATACTAACATAACTTCACATTTTTGTAAGTAACATAATAGTATTTTAATTGTTTTATATAATTATAAATATTTGCATGCCTATTAAAGGCAGAATATAGCATGAACTATGCACCGCTGTTAAATCTGGTACCACCTGTATTCTGTGCAAATAAATGTTTCTTTCTTTCTTCTTTCTTTCATCTTTATATCTATAAGAATAAAATTGAAGTGACTGTTTGTAATATCGAAACAACTGTCTTTTATTGAGCGCAGGGAGTTATTTGCATGTCATTAAATAAAATAAAAGCAAAATAAGATTAATCTTTACAAATCCTTACATTAAGTAGAATCAGAAATAAATTTTCGTAACTATCGATATATTTCTTGTGCTCCTATGTAACTCGACAAGAGTTGATATTTAGCATGATTTCGTAAAAATACCTTATATTTATATTTTCTGTATAAAAACAGAACATAATTCTTTTTTCAGCATACCTAAAATCAATACTTTTAAAAACTTTTTGTAAAAACCTCTGTCATAAGAAGAATGAATAGAGAGAAAATAACATTGTCATAGGAATGTTTTTAAGTTTTGAAGAGATTTTTAAAATCCAAAGCATGCAATACAATATGTTGTAAAATTAATTAAACACTCGTAATATATCATTTTAGCAAATAGCGTATTCCCCGGGCTTATTATCAATGATGTTTTCATAAGTACTATAATAGCGCTTTATATATTATGTAGTTGTAGTATTTCATTAAATAATTTAATTCATTGCTAAAATAATATAAAATAGACGTAAAAATTACCGATCGTGTAAAGTTGCGTAAAACTATTTTATTTAAGTTTCTTCTTTGTAGCAGTTTTTTTATGAACATAAAAAAATAAACATACGAGTACTATAATTGTTCTTAATATATAGTGAGGCCATACCCATATATTGGGAAAGAATGCCTTAAGGCATTAAGTCCGCCATATGTATGATTTTTGTTTTGTGCATAAAAGTTTAAATATATATATACATGTGGGATCGTCGAAGAAAAGAATGGTCGAATTAACCACAAAATCTTTAATAAAACTGCTTAGCTCTTTTACAATGTTTTTCCTCCTAACCACCGACTCTTTCCGCCTGTCATGACATGACTTCAAAAAATACATAAACACAGATTAAAAATAAACTTTCTCCCACACGGCCGTCCTGATCATTCATCTGACTCAGATGAATATTCATCTACGTCTTCATCGACCCATGGCTTCATGAGATCAGCCGAGGTTGTTGTGTTGATGGGCCCTTCGCATTCACCAACTTTTCTTACAGCGTACCTTTCATGATGCTTTTTGGCTGTCACTGCGTAAGGTCCTAGATACTTAGGATACAATTTACTTCCTTGAGTAAATTGTGTTCGTTTAATAGCAACTAAATCATCAACTTTGTATTCGGTAGCCTTTTTTCTTTTCCTATTATAATTTTTAACATTCTCTTCTTGCATCTTTTGTATTGACTCTTTTGCCTTTAATCTTAATTCATTCCATTGCTCATTATAGTTCTTAACTTCTTCTTCTTCTATTAATTTCATAATTTTTTCATTCTCATCTTTCATTTTGGTTCCAAAAAGTAACTCGAATGGAGTCATTCCAATACTTCTTTGCCATGTACTATTCAGACAGCGTTGTACTTTGGAAACTTGTTTATACCACTTCGTCGGATCATCAGCGCTCAATTTACTTATAACACTTATTATGATTTGGTGGATTCTTTCTACTTGCCCGTTTCCGCGGGGTTGTCCTGTAGTAATTGTATAATGAATTATGCCTTCTTGTTCACAATAGTCTTGAAAGTCTTTTGAAGTAAATGCGGCGTTACGATCGGAAATAATCCTCTGAGGGGAACCAAAGGTTTGTTGTTGCACTCTCAGTTTGTCCAACGTTTCATCTGTGGACAAAGATTTTGTAGGATAGATCCAAGTAAATTTGGTAAAGCCATCAACTACCGTAAAAATGTACTTATAATTTTTATTAGTAGACGTCAATGGACCAAGATGATCAATATGATACGTCGACAACGGGACATCACCTTTGTCTAGTGGATGTAAGAATCCTTCTTTCTTTCCCTTTTTCTGTTCAATCAGAATACATTCTACACAATTATCTATAACTTTTCTAATCTTCTCCTTCAGATTCTCAACATAATATTCTCGACTCACAAGCTCTTCTGTTTTTCTAACTCCAAAATGTCCATAATCATGCTTCTTCCTTATTATTTCGTTCTGCATTTTCTTTGGAACTACAATCAGTCTCGTACCATCTTTCTCTTTGCATAATATTCCTCTTTCCATAATATAGTCTTGATAGGGTTCTTTTTCTAACATTTTCTTTAACAGACTGATATGAGGGTCGTCGTCTTGAGCTCTCTTCAAACGGGCAGCAACTTCGGTAAGTATCAAACAGACAGGGTTTCGGCTTAGTGCGTCAGCTTGTTTAAGTCTTGATCCTGACCTGTGTTCTATCTCATAATTATACTCTTCTAGGAGCAGAGCCCATCGAGCAACACGTGGAGGTAAGTCTTTCTTCTGTAATGTTTTAGTAAGAGCAGAGCAATCTGTTACGATTTTAAAACGAATTCCTAGTAGATAGACACGGAATTTCTTGACAGCTTCAACAATCGCCAGTATTTCCAAGTAATAGCTGTGATACTTTCTTTCAGCGGGTGTCGTTTTTTTGCTCATGTAGTAGACTGGATGCATTTGATTATCTGTAGGACTTTTCTGTAACAGAACGGCGCCATAACCTTCTGCGCTATCATCTGTGTGTAGTTCTGTTGTTAGGTCTGGATCGTAAATCCGTAACACAGGTGAACTACACAATATTCTTTTCAATTAATTGAAAGCCATTTCGCACTCTTCATCAAAATTGAATTCAACGTCTTTCTTCAATAAATTGGTAAGTGGTTTTGCAATTATAGAATAATTTTTGATGAACTTTCTAAAATAACCAGACAGTCCTAAAAAAGACTGTAAAGACTTGATGTTATAAGGGGATTTAAATCTTGATACGGCTGAAATCTTTTCTTTTGACGGGCGTAATTCATTATTCCGTATTATATAGCCTAAATATTCTATCTCCCTCTTCATGAAGTGGCATTTCTTCCAGTTAAATAAAAGACCGTACTCTCCAGCTCTTTGGAACACTTTTACCAGCTTCTCCAATCCTTCTTCTTCTGTCTCCGAGGGTAAAATCAAATCATCCAAGTAGGCGAGGACAGTACCGTCAGAAATAAGATCTTGAAAGACATGGTTGACATACCTTTGGAATACTGACGGCGCCGTGCAAAGACCGAACGGCATTTTCATGAATTCATACTGCCCTTGCGGAGTTACAAAGGCCGTAAACTTCCTGCTTTCTTCATGCACATTCACATGCATAAATCCGTTCTTCAAATCTAAAGTCGTGAAAACTTTTGCACCCTTCAATCTGTCAATCTGATCTTCTATAAGAGGTAATGGGAATCGGTCTTTCACTATTCTTTTATTCAACTTTCTATAATCTATACAAAGTCTGTATGTTCCATCTTTCTTTTTAGCTAGAACTACAGGGCTTGCAAAATCTGATTTGCTGGGTCGTATAATCTTTTGGTCTAGCCATTCTTTTATTTGTTCATCAACAACTTTCATTTCCAGTGGTGACAATCGACGTGGACTTTGATATATCGGGTCTTCTTCGGTAAGTATTATCTTCATCTCAACGTTACTTTCCTTCTTTTTAGCATTAGTTTTATATTCTTTAATTAGTTTTGTAACCTTATCTGCAATTTCTTTATTTTCAGGGTAATGTTCATCACAAATAGTGTTCTTCTCTTCTGCCAGTAGTGTAAGGTAAGAAATATTTTCAAGGAAAATACCATCACGAGTAAAATTGATTTCAAAATCTTTGAGGATAGGATTTCCAAGTATGACACTGACTGGTATAGCATAATCTTGTACTACGTGAAATTCCAAGTCAGCATAATAATCATCAATCAAAACCTTAACTTTCAGAAGTCCTTTAGTATTTAGTTCTTTTCCAGCAATTCCAGTTAGGTGTATTGATTTTTCTTTGTCATAGATAACTTTTTGTCATAAATTTTTCAACTTCAGATAACTTTATCAAATTCACGTCACTCCCAGTGTCAATTAATGCTGTAATTTCGACATCATTTATCTTTATCTTCTTATATGGAGTTTCTAATTCTTTGTCTTCTTTATCAGTCTTAATTTTCGTGTCAGTCTTTTGAATATTTAAAGTCTTTTTACCTTTGTTATTACACTGAGTTCCCTTATGTCCAAATTCATTGCATCGGAAGCACTTAATACCCTTCGTGCAGGTCGGGGCTTGATGATCTAGGTCCCCGCAATTAAAACATCGCTTTATTTTATTATTCTTTGCAAATGGAGTAGATACACTGGGTCGAGTCTGGGTCTTTTATTTAATACTTTTGTAAATATCTAATTTCTTTCTAAATTCTTTAAGGTTTGACGCTCCGTACAAAATAGATTTATTAGATTCGCTGTCTTGGATACCATCAATAACGTACTCCATAAGTGCTGCATCTTCGATGTTTCCATGTAATGCACATTCTTTCATATGGAGAAAATACTGCTGGTAAGTTTCATCTTTCTTCATTTTTCTTGAGCTTAGTTTTTTATGTATGGCGGCACTATTCAATTTAGATCCAAATTCATCTTCGAGTTCTTGTTTTAATTTTTGATAATCTTTTACACCTCCGAGCGATCGTAGAAATAGTTTTGCAGTTCCACTTAGGAGTCTTTTCGCGTAAATCAGTTTTTCTACTTCAGTCCAGCTCATCAACAGTGCCGTGTCTTCAAATTCTTCAAACCATGTTGAAATCGGGTAAGAATCATCACCACTAAATGACGTCATCGACTTCTCCACATCTGCAAACGAGATATAGGATGTGGTGTCACGTGATTCTCGTTCTTTTCCATCTTTAATATCTTTTTTCGGCGGCATCTTGAAATGTTATTCTTCAAATATAAAAATCTTCACAAGTCTTCAATAGTCGTAAAATCTTCTTTAAATCATTATTTTTGTAACAATAATCTTCAATCGTAAAATCCGTAAATCGTAAATCCAGTCGTGAAACTCATCTTTATCTTCTCTACATTTCGTAAAAAATAAAAAATATATTGACGTCACGAACAACGTCCCGTAGCATTACGCTCACGCGTAGTCGGTAATGTAGTGCGATGGTAGCAACGTCCCGAAGCATTCGATGCAACTCGTTTTCAAAACTTCCCGCGCGCCATCTTGGTTAGCGTTGGTAAAACAGTTCACTTCTCACAATAACTCGCCGGTATTTTGCTGATGATTTCTTCGTAAATGTTGTTAATTCTTCCACACTGATACTTCTCTGGATCCCGGACGAGCCCCCAAAATAGTTGTGGGATCGTCGAAGAAAAGAATGGTCGAATTAAACACAAAATCTTTAATAAAACTGCTTAGCTCTTTTACAATGTTTTTCCTCTTAACCACCGACTCTTTCCGCCTGTCATGACATGACTTCAAAAAATACATAAACACAGATTAAAAATAAACTTTCTCCCACATACATATATTAATATAACTGACCAATGAAACTACAGTAAGCCTGGTGGAAAGTGGCTACGGCAGTCAATGAACACATGTTACTTCAAGCAAAGAAGGTTATAGAGGCGTTGTCACCTCTTAGAACTAAGTTACACCTGTAAATATACTGGCTCTCTGAACCCTTCAGAGTTGTAAACTACAGTGCTGCTATTTGGCTACCTACCCATAAGAGGAGTCCTCCCACCTAGTGTTCTAGAGATTCTTTGGGATTTGAGATTAAACTGCTTTTACGGACCTTTTTGGCAAAACAAAAATAGTCTTGTTTCTGAATAAGTCGTATTTCCCCAGAGTAAAATAAGATTGGCATTAAGCTATGGAAATACCTATGAAAAACTTATCAAGCTGTTTAACATTAGTGAGCCTTTTAATCTCTTTTCCGACATATTATGCTGCGGAGCCTAGTCTGCTTGCTACACTGTAGAATCAACAAGACTAAACCCTCCCCTATTTAAAAACACATTAATATTCAGGTGTTCAAAATTAGGTGTCGTAAATTTTACCCGTCACCCATTCTTTAAATAATTTGCAACTCTTAAAGGATTTAAAAGTAAATGTTATATTAAATTTATAGTTTAGGCAATATATTTCTGCCACTGACCTCTATATATACAAGTACCCTCAACTGACTATGCCATACAAAATGTTTATGCCGATTTGAAGCGCCCTCATTGTCCGTACCGGGAACTAAACTTGACATGCCTAAGTCTGTTGTATTATTTAAATATTATCTCTGTATTTTGAATTTTGAAACTAAAAAATGAAAGTATTTTATGTGGTTTGATTATGTTTGATTTTAGTCGCATAATAAGAATTATTTTTAGCTATAATGAGAGTGTGCGTATTATGTAAAATTCGTTAACAATTAATAAAATCGCCTCATTATGTCACCAGCCCATATATAGAAGTCAGTGATTTCTCCAATATTGTGTTGTATGGAAGTGATGGCAACTATTTAAACAAGTGATTTTTTTTTAAATTTGTACAATAATAATTTAATATGCCACTTTTTTTTATATTTCTACATTGTCATCCGATTTTGTTGCATTTTTGTTGCATCACCGTAACTGTTACAGCATGCCAATAGTTTGCGGCTGAAAATAGGTAAACAGGTAACGAAACCAGACAGATTGCTTCTTAGGAGGGGGGGGGGGGATATGTCCCATAGTTACCATTCGTGCCAGATGGGTTGGCAACCGCAGTTTTTTTTATTTTCTAGTTGTCATTGGAAATACCCTGCTGTCCATCTCCTGGTTTGTTTTCATTTGTCGCCGCTTACAACACACACAGGACTATATGGAGTAGTGGATATTTTTACACTGCCACTACAAGATAACGGTTTAGTAGCATCATTTAAGAGTTATGATATTTTAAATAGTTTTAGGAGTATAATGGTACTTTATAATAAACTATCTAATACTTCCTACACTATTCAATGTGCGAGGTAGAAAAGAGGTACATGGTAGAGCCACGCTGCAACTGTAATAATGTTGCAGCTGAAGCGGACTCAGAGCAAGTGGATTGTATTAATAGTTGGACAATAAAAATGGAATATAACTTATATATATTTTAAAACAACTGGGAATAAAACTTATTTTAATAAACGTCAGCATAATTTGTTCCAGAGAATCTTATTATGTATTTTGCAATATTCAATATAATTTCTAAAGTTAGTTTGAAACAACAGGAAACAAAGAGTGTCGTATAACTTATTGTCATAGATGTCAGCATAATTTGTTCTAAAAAATTTCATTATGTATTCTGCAATATTTTATACACATGTAAAGTAAATACTGAGTCAAATCCTTCAACTTGTTGCTATGCTATGCCACGTGCTGAGTATCCTTAACTAGCTCTTCTTGCCGCAGATGTCCCCCGCTGGATGCCCGGACTTATTCTCACGGCAGGTATATCACAGCCGATATACCCCACGCGACGTCGCGACGTATGACGTGATATCTTTATGTGCGGGACATGTGGGGCGACGAGGGTGATCCGGTTGCCGTCCGCAACATCCTCCTCCTGGTGTAGTCCTGAAGCCTCGTTTTTATTTCGGGAGAATTGCGAGTTTCTTCATCTTCTCTTGCCTCTTCGTCCAGTTGCT